CCTTCTCATACCTGCACAAACAAATGTCACAATTATTCAACAATTCCACAAAAACGAACCAATAAAAATGAAGGCTTTGAAAGAACAAAAAAAAGAAGGGGGGAGGAGGTTAAAAATAATTACACTTCAAGTTGGTCAATGACGCAGCCATCTTCAAGGACCTCAAGGAAGAAATGGTGAGAAGGAGGCTCGCTCCACTGAGGGATTGCGTAAGGCACAGAAGAAAGCTCTGAGCTTGACGGCTATTCAACTGAATTTGGTTCTGAATCACAAGTTGATTCCTTTTCTTGGTCTGGGGGCTTTTGGGGAGGATCCCTTGAGGTTTTGACTGTTGTGGGTTCGGATTCTTCTTGGGTTATCAGTTCAGGTTCCGTCGAGACGTTTGGGTTGCGCGGTGGCGGTGGACCCATATTGGTGGTCATGGTTGCGCATAGAGAGTACATGGCCTAGAGAGGCTAAGGCGCCACAAGGACCAATGTTAAAAGATCGGTCCGGACTATGGACAAAAGACCAAGGAGAGCATATGGGCGGGTCGGTTTTGCGATGGATCCGGGTTTTAATTTTTATATATTCAGTGCAAGAAAATGGGTCCGGCCCAAAATATAGAATTACAGATTATTATATATATTAATAGGGATTATATTTGATACACTTAAATTGTACAGTTTTTATGTATTGTCTGGCCAGGAGATTAGGAGAGAACATCAGTCGATTAGGGGAGAAATAATTATTGATAAAACTGATGGTAAATTTTAATTGATCAAAGCCAACCGAGTTTAATGAAATGTAGATCAACTAAAATTGATCTCAATTTCGATCGGTTGAATGCTGAGATGGATTTGGATTGAAATAGCCCAAAGCCGATAAAAATTGAAAAGTTTGTATTAAGTTTAGACTTAAAACTGTGTTACTCATATTTTAATTAAAATCAAGTCTATTTTATTTAAATAAGTAATCCAATTCATATGATTTATTTTTAATTAAATAAATAAACATTATATAATTTTTTAATTAAAAAATACTCTATATTATTTATTTATAAGAATGCAAAAACAAAATTTATCTTTGTTAAATAAAATATATTAAATTTGCTGACAAAAAAATTAAATAAAATGGAAAGATAAGGGAATAAACATTTTCATAAATTGTACATTATATGGAATCCAATTTAGTCTGTTATGCAATGCAATTAATCTAAATGTGAGAAGTGCAACATAAAATTAATAAATTGTATATACTACAAATTCATAAAAGTTAGAAATTATACAACATAAATTACTAAATTTTAAAACATAAATTTGATGGACCTTGGACCTCCAACTCCAATTTAGTGATTTTTCAAAATATGATCCTACAAGTGTTAAAATATAAAATAATTAGTATAAATGATTTTATTAAGATAATTTAAATAAATTATAAATGTATATATGCATAACACTTAATGATAATATTACCTAAAAAATGAAAACAGTCGATATGAATAACACGTTACTCAAAGTCAGATCCTGACTCAGCCTCAGTCTCACGTATGGGCACTAGTGTAATCTTTGACAAATCTTAAAAATTAAAATTGCAAATATGGTAAAATTTTTAAACAAATAACTAAAGAAACAAAAAAATAAATTGAGAAAAAGAAATGATACTATATAGGATGATCCTATATTATGGTAAATTAAACAAAGAACTAAAGAAAAAAAGAAATAATTATCGAAATTAAGTTTATCGATCTCGTCCAAATCATCCTTAGTCTGCTTCGAATCACCACGTGCTTTTCCATTTAGCCAATCTTGAGCACAAATAAGTGTTTGCACAATCTTAGGAGTCAAAAAACTCTTAAATGCATCAAGCACATGTCCCCCGATCCTAAAAGTGGATTCTGAAACAATTGTTGAGACAAGAACCTTTAATACATCATGAGCAATAGCAGCAAGCATAGGAAACCTATCCTAATTAAGTTTCCACTACATGAGAACATCAAAGTCAGTATCTTCATCATCAGCCACCGACTCAGATAAATATTTATTCAATTCTTATTTTTGCTCCTCCAAGCCATTGTTTAACCGATGCCTCTTAAAAGCTCCTAATCTTCTCTTTGTAGTTATTGGGTCCTTGCCACTCGAAACAATAGCATTGCCATGCCCACTTTCACCACCGATGGCTTTTCGTATTGACATTTGAGACTTTTGACCACTTTCACACAAACATGAGATTAAGATTGAGGTTGAGGTTACAACATATTCCTATAATATTGAAACAACTCATCCATTGTTCTTTTCACTAAAGAAAACATCAATAAAGCTTGCTCGGTAGAATAGATATCTTAGAAAGGAAATTTAATATAAGCAAGCTTTTTCCTCAGACCAAAGAATAGAGGTAGTGCAGAACATCAAATTCATTTTTTCCACATACCCCCAATACTTGTCAAATTTAGTTTTCATTTTCATTGTCATAGACTTCAAATCAACATCATCACTTTGTTGCCATTCGATCAAAGTGCCATATACATTAGAAATAGAATCAAGAAAAGAATTTGCAGTGACATAAGATGTACTTGAAACATTTAACGGTCGTATCATAAAACTCTTTCAAGAAAAGAGAAATTCTCCTAAAAGTTGCCTAAGCTTTATCATCAAACACCAAGTCTCCATTCCTCATTAGCTCACTTTTGTAACCATTATCATAATGCTCAAATGATGCAAAAGCCCTCTCAAATTTCTTAGTTGTATCCAACATCAAAAAAGTAGAATTTCATCCAGTGCACACATCAAAACACAATAAACACTTACTATCACCTCCTCCATTACTAGCACATTCTATAAACTTGGTTAATCTAGAAGGATATTATTTAACATGTTTTGTTGCCGCTCTAACACTAACAATTAAGTCATTGATATCCTTTAATCCATTAGTCACAGTAAGACTAACAATATGTGCAACACATCTCATATGAAAAAATTTACCTCTTAAAATATTAGTTCTGACAACATTAAATTTTTTCCTCTAATGTCTTATGGCAATATTATTGGAACTAGCATTATCAACAGTAATGGAAAACACCTTTTGAATCCCTCAATCAACCAAAGATCTATCAATTGCCTTTCAAATAGCTTGCCTTTTGTGACTAGTAATTGGACTAAAGTTCAAAATCCTTTTTTGCAACTTCCCATCTTTATCAATAAAATGAACAATCAAACACAAGTAATTAATTTTTTGTACCAAAGTCCATATGTCTATGGTGAGACATATTTTACTAGGACATGATCTTAAAATTTCTTTCATATGAGTTTTTACATCAACATAAACCTTATAACAATCCCTAATAATGGTCCATCGTGACGATATATGAAATATAAAACATGCTTACTTTATGTGTTTCCTATACCTTTGGCCTTCCACAAATCTAAAAGGTAACTCATCTACAATGATCATCTCAACTAAACTCCTCTTAGTTGCATTCTGATCAAACTTCCAACTATCCAAAGACCCATCTCTTGATGAAAAAACTATGTCCATTTGATTACTCTCCTCATTGGCATGGAGCATATTCAACTTTGGACAAACCTTAACATGATTATTTAAAAAAGATGTTCCATTTTTTTTTTGTATCAGCACATAAAACCTTATCACAATGGCTACATCTAACCTTATGATTACCTTTGTTATCAAAAAAATTTGTGAAGTGATCCCACACAGGCAATTATGTCTTAAATGGTTCCTTTTGTTTTTGTGGTTTAAAGCTTACCGCTTCACTTCTTACGTTGCTTTCAATAGCACTTGCATCAATATGAGGTGTAAATGTTGTCTCATTAGTTACCACGTTTATATCTTCTTCAATTTCATTTGACATATACAAAATAAATAAATAAATCATCATATAACTAAATAAATTTGGTATGCCAAAGTGAAAAATAATAATAGTACCAAGTACAAACAAAACAAAATAGGTAGAATAAAATGTTGAAGAAAATATTATGAGTGACATGGTACTATTAGAGAAATGTAAACATGAAATCTATAAAGTGAACTTCACTTTTCAAATTTCATTTTTACATTTGTCTAATAGTACCAGGTCACTCATAACATTTTCTTCCTACTAAATGTGGTAAAAAAAATTCAATGACTTGTTATATTTAATAAAATTTAATTGAAAACACAATAATAACATTGAATAAATTGTTATGTGTGAGTGTGACTTGTTATATTTTTAATAACATTTAACAAAATTAAATTTAATTCAACTCTAGTAATTTTTTGAAAAGTTAATTTTATTTCATAATTGGCTCTACAAAAAGCATAACTTTCAGGAAGATGACGAGGACACAATCAAAGTTCAAAGACAGCAAAACTCTATCATCCTTCTTCAGGTTGCCTATAAGATCAAGATGATCTATATCCATATCTCATAGCAATTATAATCCTATATCTATTCTCTATATAGAAAATATCAAAGATCAAGGAAATTCCATCTCAAACAAGACATTGAACCCCAG